CGTTGTCTACTACAGAAGCTGAGTATATAGCAGTGCCAAAGGCTGTAAAGGAGATGATATAGCTATAGGGCTTCTTGAAAGAATTGAGCAAGAAAGATCAGCAGGGCATACTCTATAGTGATAGTCAAAGCGACATATTCTTTGCCAGGAATCCAGCATTTTCAGTCCAGGACAAAACACATTCAGATCAGGTATCACTTCATACGGTCATTGTTGGATGACAGACATTTGTTGCTTGAGAAAATTTGTAGAAGCTAGAACCCTGCTGATATATTGACAAAGGGTGTTACTCTGAAGAAACTAAAGTTGTGCGCAACTTCAGTTGGTCTTCTAGCTTGAAGACATGGGTCTTGAGTTGCAGAGGTATAGGATTTATGTTTGAAGGGTGACGCCACCAGTAGAGGGTATCAGTTTGAGGAGGAAGGACGTTGTAGTCTGTGTACCGGTCTCCAAGTGGGAGATATGTTGAGTGTGGAGCCCGGTAAAAAAAAAAAACTTAACCCCCCCCCCCCCCCCGCCCACACCCCAAAACTCTGCTCCCTTTTTTCGCGAATTAGTTTCTCCCCCATTCGTGAATCAACCCCTTGCTCGCCTCCTTCGGTTCGCAAAAAACAGTTCTTCTGTCTCGGCCTCTCCCAGATTTGCGAAACCCCCTTGCCTCCTTCAGTTCGCGAACCTCCGTCTCTCTCGTTTGCTGGAGGTCGCCGCTTCAGTTCCTTCAGTTCGCGAAAACATGAAATGAGATTTCTCAGAAGGCAGAAAAAGGCATGTTTTCACAGGTGCTCCCTCTCTTAATTGTTTCTGCATGCTTGGCAGAAGGAAGAAGAAGATAGTGAAGAAGAAGGTGTTTGTACTTGATTTCTTCTTGTTGGCTTAAAGCAAAAGAGAAACAAATTTTCTCTTGTACGTTTTTCTTCTTTTTCGGTGCATCTCAGTGTAGAGAAGAAATAAGAGAGAGTGAGAAAGTGGGAAACTTTCTCCTGTCATTGTCGTTGTGATCAACTGATGTAAATTTCTCAATCAGTAAAATCCTCTGCAACTCCGTGGATGTAGGCAAATTTATCGAACCACGTAAATCTGTGTGTCGCTCTGATTTTTTTCTGCATGCAATTTTTCTCGTTCTTTTTTTTCGTTTTATTGCTGATTTATATCCACAGCACTTTGTTCGAGCTTCATATCGAATATTTAACAAGTTGATTGTCGAACAATAAACGAGTTTGTTCATGAACATAAATAAACAAATTTGACTATGTTCATTTTTAGTTCATTTAAAATTTGAGTTTTAAAAAATTATTCGAACTTGTTTATTTACTAATTTGAGTGAAAATGAGAGAGTAGAGTTCGAGTTGTTCATCGAGTGCATTGGGTTATTTACAACCCTGCTCACAATAATGCTTAATGCAACATATTTTATTAAAATAAATGTAGTTCTCTTTATATATATATAGATAGAAATAAATTGACACTTACAAATAAGAATTGCGTGGTATTACGTAAATGCCCCTTCAACAAGTAGACAATAGTCTCATAGCCGACCTTCTCAAGTGTCAAGCTTCGAGCTGACGCGGGAGATGAAGGGCCAGGAAAAGAGAAGCACAGTTGATGAACGAATACACAGAAAAGGGCTTCCAATTTAGGGATCGAAGTCACGAAGAAAAGCAATCTTAAAACCAGAGAGAAATAAAGGCGATGCTGCTCCATCTCCCTCCTATCCGTCACACGATTCCAACCTCATCACCACTGCCCCGATTTTGTTTCTCCATTGCCGCAACGGACCGCCGCATCAACTTCCTGAACTCTGCTGGAAGCGGTAGCGGTGGCCGCAGATGGAAGTTTGCTGACATCGATCCAGGTGCTGTACTTCTCACTTACAAGGATCGATGTTTCTGTTTCTTATTTGCCATGGTTGTATTGTATTAGGTGCCGTTCAGCAGAGGGTGAGCTCATGGCTGTTCAAGGCGCAGACGTTATTTTCAGACGTGGCCGTGCCGCTTGTGAAGCCGGGGTTGAAGCTGAAATTGGATATCGATGGCGAGTCACAGGAAATGGACCTGGAGATGTTTTTGTCTATGGAGATAACCGTTGATCGAAGGACGCCGAACGGGTACCTCTCCCTTGCCGCCGCAGTCTCGATAGAGCAGTTCGGGAGGTGAGGGGAAATGGATATTTGACCTTTTATTGATTATTTGAAGTTTATGCTCAAATTAGGCATTCTAAATATGAGTATATTTGACTTGAATTGATTTTTTGTTGTCTATGTCCTAATTTGGCATTCTAAAAATATCTCCGTGCTGAGTATATGCTGCTGGTTTTATGCTAAACTGTTCTCTGATTTTACAAGGATGGTACAGGATGAGCGGCTTGACTGGTAGAAAGATGCAGAGGATTTTCAAAGCTCTTGCACCTGAGGGGATTCAAGATGATGCACGAAGTTTGGTAGAGTATTGTTGCTTTAGGTACTTGTCAAGGGATAGCTCTGATTTCCATCCTAACTTGAAGGTTTGCACAGTCCACGATGACTTGAATTCTAGAGTCTTGCATGTTTTGGCATTTTATTTGAGTGAAAAGTTGAAGGAATTTCTACTTCCTATATCACTATGTTTTATTGCCTTGTTTGTTGCTCAGTTGTATTGATACCACTTTATCTTGCTGTGATATGAATGAATGCAGTTATCGTTGTCTATATTCGAATGGCCTGTTTTTCGTCAGCTGTTTATTAGTTATTTGCACTTCATCCTATATGTAGAGGAGGAAGCGGAGGATGAGATTTTATAGTTCTTGGTCAAAGAGGTAGGCTGGTTCCTTATAGGTCTTACTGATTACCACTACTAGAAACTTACCTCTTTGAAGTGTATCTTCCATAGCAATTGCAGGATACCTTAGCTTCTATGTTCATTACGCCATTCTGAAGTTGAATGAGATATGCATGCATTAGTGGCGTTATGATAAGTATTGTAAATTAACATTAGTCAAATTATGCTATTATATTTCATTGGCATTACAATTTATAAGAAATAGTGGTATGAAAAATCTGTTATCATTTACATTTGATATTATTAAATAGCTTTGATCATTTCTTCTATATCCAAAAACCAAAAAAAAAGAGGAAAAAACTTGACATATATCTATTATGTCGATAAGCTTGACCGAGGAAAACCATAATATGTTTAAGTACTATGTCTTCCAATTTTCGATACTCTTATGGGAATGACACTTAAAATTGAAACTGATATCATTCATCTATGATATGTCATTGAAGGTCAATTTTCTCCTTAAAACTCTAGATATAGTTAAGTGACCTATAGATCAACATCCTTCATGTCGACTTTCTATAAAAAAATTTTTGTCTGCCAATATCATCACCAAATTTAGTTGTGAGAAGGAAATAAATTAAAATGCTACTGCATGTTTGATCTTCTTGAACTCCATTACATCAAGTACTATCCTATGAATGGCATTCAATACACAAGTATCTTACTAATGTCGGTCCATTGTATTTGTTCCAGTAAGGGCTTCTTAAAAGAAATATTTAATTATGCAGAACTCTCAATATTCCACAATTTTCCAATTTAAATTGGATTGCTTTAGGACTAAATAATAAACATATAATATTATTAGTATTTGTATGGAGATAGTTCTAAGAAGCATTGAATAATAAACATATAATATTTTTAGTATTTGTATGGAGATAGTTCTAAGAAGCATTGCAAGGTTATGCATTTGCTTACTTCTTTCTATTTGTAGCATAAATACCCCTTTTTGTTGTTCATGAACTTGAAACTTCTTCGTATGTTTTTTTTACACAGGAATTATTTGGCAATCCTTGATTCATTAAGCTAAGCTATGGGTTCAACCATCTCAATGTATGGAGATCACAAGGGGAAGATTCTCTTAGGTCTTAATAGTAGAGAATGGTTTTTGCTCAAGTGATTGTAACCAAGCCTACCTAAGGCAACGATAGTGTACTAAAGATCCCCCCCACCACCACCACCCCCCCAACAACTTTAAAAAAAATTGACACTTTGTAATTTTGCCCACCCTAAAAAATTATGTTGGTTCCGCCCTTGTAGTAAGGATATAGAGGTTTACCACCCTAGTAACAGGTTAGGGGTATTAAAAAAATCCAAGGTGTTAGGTTTTGCTAGTTTGAGAAGTTGGCAATTTGATGAAAAAAACTTTAGCACATAAGGGACGGTTTGATTATGATATATGAAGATCCTTCAATGAACTTGACGCGGGTGTCTCCCACAACCTGGATCGGACGCGGCATCTGGGTTGCGGGAATGGTGTAGAGCCAAACCAGGCGTCTCCTCTTTCAATTTGATTTCAATTTTCAACACATTTCCTTTTATCATTCCCTCTCTTCTAGTTCTTTCTTACTTATGTGCTGTATTAGGGTTTGAATTTTCAGTTTTAGTCGTGTTTCTGTTCGGGACAGCCGCCAACGTCTCAAGTTTTCCCCTCTAGTTTTGTATCCAAGGGTTTGGTGGTGGTCTGACTGTATCTCGCTCCCAAGGTAGTGATTTTCTT